TTCTAAACATGCTAATCCAGGAAGGAGCCCATGCTTGTGTTGAACACAGTTAGGAAAATGACACACTGCTCTGCATTAGCTTTGCGCCTGTCACCTCTACAGCATGAAATTTTATTACCTGTCACTCTATGTAGTTTCCTACTTGTACAGAAGACACCCTGGGACTCGCACTGTCCCATTTCACAAGTTCTTTTTTCACCTCTGTTTTGGCTCAGACATTCCTTTGTGTTTTTGGAAGATGTGCATTAGATGAGATGACTTGTCAATATGACAACTTATTTGAAGATTTCCCTAATGATTATCAAGAGTTGTTGTGACAGATATTAAACATTTCTGCTTGAAAAGGAGAATATTCTTGACAAGGCACAAGGAAGGAGAGGACATCCACATCTGAATCACCTTCAAACCATTACTCTGTGTCCCTGCACTCATTAGGCTATGATCAAAATTTATAACACAATCGTTTTTTGAGTAGTACTGGAAGTGAAGCCACTTTAGCAAAACCTAATAATGTGACATTTAATGTACAGTCTTTTCTCTAACAAGCATTTTCTTGCAGTCATTTGTTAAATGGTACTACTAATTTTGTCCACAGTATATTTGCTTTTACCCAAGCTGGCATTAAGCTGGAGCAGGGAGAGGCTAGGATTCTGTGCCTGGATTCTGCCCATAACTCATACCCTAACTCATATAATGATATATATCAGGCTGGTATTGAAAGAGAAATTTTGGAGTTGGAGCAGTTTCTCCACTCTCCTCCCTCCACTCCAGATGTTCCACCTATATTATAACAGTAGTAATTACATGCAAGCCTCACAAATACAAAAGGTTTAAATCCTTTTTTGGGACGACAAACTTAAAACTGAAGCTGACTAAATCCTTCAGTAAGATTTCAGCATCATTCTAAATATGAAGAGACTCTATCAAAGCTTTTGTTTTAGGGATATTACAGAGTAACGCTGGTACAACAGCAAGGGTGATTTTTAATAGGTTTATCTGTCATTTAGAAGCTCTATGTCCAACCATATGTCAAAAAGGAGAGGTAAACAAATAAGAGACTAAACGCTTCCCATGTAGAGAAGCTCTCATAAACTGCTGATTTAATAACTATTCAGATCAATCTTTCAAGCAAGTGACGAAATAATATGAATTTCCTGAATTTTTCTCCTAAAGAGAGAGATTCTTTCTCTCTCCACTGTGAAATGACAGACTCATAAATGAAAATGCTGTTGGAAGCAACTAAATATTACACATGCCTCTGAGAAAAATGATAAGAGAATTAGAAAATAGGGAAAAGAATGCGGAGAAGGGGAAAATGCCCTCATGTAAACAAAGGTAAAAGCAGAGGAGATTGAATTCATTACATACATGATCAAAATTCCTTAGCAAGCTTAATAAGAAAGTGTTTCATAGAAGAAAAGCTGTCAAAATGGAAGACAACTTTGTAAAACAGAGGCCTATGCTGCAGCAGATTTTGCTAGGGCTAAACTTTACACTTTAAACAATGGGATACAAAGAACAACACAAATGAAATAATCAGACACAAAAATATCCTGACAATTAGTCTTCTACAGATCAGATCAGAAATGCAACTTATTTTTATCATTGGTTTCCAAAAAAACAAATAAATTCATAAACTATAAGCAAAACAAATTAAAGCTCTTTTAGCTTGGTCTAGTTATTAGGAGACAACATTGAAAAGTACATTGGAATACCAACTTTAATGGGCCAGTTGTTTTTTTAATTTTTTAGCAAGCGTGTCTGAGATTCAGACAAGAAATGTACAACAAAACGGTAACAACAATATCAGAAGGATTCTTCCTTTCCTTATTTTTGCACTTGTTTCTTGTGTTTGCAGTGGCTCTGGAAATGGATTTATCTTCCATTTCTACTCAGAGATGTGTGCTTTTCAAACAGCTTGGCTTTTACGTGCTAAGAACACAAATTGAGAAAATTTTGGCTTCTGGCCAGACCTAACTTCAGCTGTATCACATTCCCAGGTCTGTTCCTTTCTCCTATTGCTTTCTTCTAGGATTTCAACTGTAAACTTTATCCATGGGTTTTGGAATGGCTGTTTTTTATTTTGAATATTGAGTGATATATACAATTTATGAGAACAGAAATGACAGTGACAATCTCAGAAATCATTAAAATGCTCCCAAAAGAAATAGAATATTGATTTCAAATGAAAGTACAGCTTTAGGCTAAGTCAGACGTGAGTGGTCAGTTCAAAATGTAACTTCATGTATGATTAATATGCCAAGGCATTTTAAAAATGCTTCTAACTACTCTTCAGAAACCCAAACATTCAGTGTGCTTCCTCATCTTTTCACATTCTCTGTGTTTACATGTATCACAATCCTGGGCTTTAAAGCAGCTGGACAAGCTATTTTTTTACCTAAACACCTCTGAGTGATTTGTATGCTGAAATTATGTATGGGAATAACCTCTAAGTTTGTTTTTGCACATACTACTCTAAAAAAAATTTTATGCTTGAATATTAGATCTGCAAATATAATTGAAGAGGATTTTCATGGTTAGAAACTGTGACCCATTACAGCAATTGTAATACTCAACTGTGCTCCCTGTTAGCTGTTGTCTCACACTCCATTAGAGCTTATGATGCACAGGAAGTGACACTCCCAGTAAAATGAAGCAAAATTTACCCCACGAAAATTGTAGTAGAAAAAGGAAATATGAAAACAACCACCGAAATCTAAAGAATGGGAAGGAAGAAATATATACCATGATATATCAATTAAAAAAAAAAAAAGTACATGTTTTAAATTTTTCCTTCTGAAAAATATGTTTGCCACTATTTTTTTTAGTATTTTTACTACACCAGTAGATATTGCAGGCATATAAAATCTTCCTGTTTTTCAATGTCTGGATACATATTATACACATAAAATACACATATATATGAGAACACACAAACACACATAATCTATGGTTTAACCTCAGTAAACCATAAAACAGACACTGAAGGTTTGTTTCTCTATTCTACAAACATTAAAGTGTCAAAATTGTACCCTTTGAAACATCTTTCTGGTAAGTCTCCTGCATTTGTTCAAGTGCCACATACTCCATCAAATCAGTCATGTTAGTCCAAAAATATGTACTGAAATATTTGTATGGGCAACACTCTGTTAACTTTATTACGTAATGAAATAACACCATGCTTCTTATCAAACTGATTTACACAATCAGATTTTCCTTCTGAGTGAAACAGAACTGCTGGGCATTTTGCTGTAAAGATATGGATTGGGCATGTGAGTGTGGAAGAATAGCAGAAGACTTGCTAAGACTAAATACTGATATCTAGTGCAGAAGATTCTTAGCTAAGTCGACAGTACTGAATTATTCTTTCAAAACTTACTGCAAAGTACATTCTGTGATTGGAGGCTCATTATTTCTATTCTATGAGCTAAAGTAACTACCTCTGCAGAAGCTGCTTTGTTAGCATGAAACAGAAAAAAGCAGAAAACCAAACATTTAAAAAGAACTGTTACTACCTTTGCCAAGGTAATGCTATCTCAAGACTCAGAGATCATTTTAATAGCTAAGATTCAAAAGAATCCACCTCTCACATAACTGAAAGCAAAGCTGCAGGCACTTCCTTAGACTGATACATTTGTTTGCTGCCTGGTGTTCAGCTAGCATCTGACAAGTAAAAAAAGGTCATAAAATACATTTGTAAAAAATACAGAAAAGCAAAAAGTTCTCTTGGGCCTTAAATCTCACTCACTACAAGAAAGACATTCCAAAGAAGAGCAATGAAGCTGTTGAAGGATCTGAGGAACAGGTCTGATGAGGAATATCTGAGGGAGCTCGAATTGCTCAGCCTGGAGAAAAAGAGGTGCAGGGGAGACCTTATCACTCTCCACAACCACCTGAAAGGAGGGAATAGCCAGGTGGGGATCGGTCTCTTCTCTCACATAACTTATGATAGGATGAGAGGAAATGGCCTGAAGTCGTAACATGGGAGATTTAGATTGGATATCATGAAAAAATTCTTCTCTGAAAGGGCCATCAAGCATTGGAACAGGCTGTCCAGGGAAGCGATGCAGTTTCCATCCCTGCAGGTATTTAAAAGACCTGTAGGTGTGGCACCTGGGGACATGGTTTTAATTACCCACTGGGATGACCTGAATAACCCCCTGTCAAACCAAGTCTGTCAGTTGGTTTGATACCCCAACTGAAAAGCAAGAAAGACTATTCAAAGCCTCTAGGTCTCAATACACTGAGGAAATACATTATGCTGAGAAACTCAAGCCATGGATAGCAGTCACTGCCCAGTCTTGGGAAGGACAGAGAGCTGAACACTTCAATCATTTATCCCAGAGCTCTCAAGAGATGTCACTTCACTACCACTGGGAAACAAGGAGCAATCACTGTCAGATGAACAGAAAGGCTGATCTGTAGGGTGCTACTCTGTGGCAATCAAAGTAAAGACCAATAAAGTAAAAAAAAAAAAAAATTCTTCCACATATTTCTGGAAATTATGAGCAATATGCAGCAGGGGGGGCCTTCCTCAAAAGACAGTTACTCAGAATGACAAAATTTTATACTCTAAATCAATTTTGGCATGGAAAATAAACTCTGAGAGAAACTTTCCTTCTCCCTTTATTTGACCAGAAGAAAGTGCAGCTGCTGTAGAACTGTCTCCCCTTATGTGTTTTAAGTATAGTGCTTGGAAGGATATTGCAGCAATAAATTCAATTTGCAACAGGAAACAGATTATCTGTTTCAACAAACAGAACGCAAAACAAATTGAACACCATTAAATAATATTTTTTCAAAAGACTTGTCCTAATATTAGAATACTTATTTCTTGCTATAATGAAAAGGGTGAAATACTTTCTCCAAGATGTGCCTTGTCACAATACTGTGACATTTGTAATGAGTGACATTTTCTCTGGTATTTCTTTTTCCCATGGATGCCATAAAGTGCATCACATGAATATGAAGTGACATCTTTACTAACATGTGGTACTTACTTATCCCCCACAATTCCCAAGTTGATTGTTGGATAGCCGTGTTCTTGGATTGTAGCTAGGAGAGTTGAACGGTTACTGTCCCGAATCTTGCCTGGCAAGAGGTCATCCTCAGGATTCAGCAGCTGTAAAACCAGAAACACTCTCAGTCAGTCTCCTTGCAACACAGTGCTTTACACAAGTGAGAATTTTTTCTTCAGGTTGGAGAGGAAGTTTCCAGACACATATCATGAAACATATGCATAAAGTGATTTAGTGAATTTAAGTTAATAAAATATGTAATGTGCTTGTTTAGTCCAATCCACCATGTTGTTTTGGTTGTTTCTACTGGTTCATGTCTGCAAAACATTCTTACTCCCTGAGTACATGGCTTCTAATCTCAGACATCAGGAATCAAACCAAAAACTTTTAAGTATTCATGTTCTTGTTCCTCTTTAAATGGTTTTAAGGGAACCTCATTGATGTTGTTAACCAGATTTAAAGACATTCATTAACATTTTGAAGTTAATTGTCTGCTCACCACGAAAGATGTCTTTTAAATACAACAGTCTGTATTAGATTAATGGACAGTAGCCTTATGCTTAGTTCTTACATCAATTACTGTGTTGGATTAAAAACTTTCTCTTAAGATAGTATATCGTGGCAATTACCTCACATGTGTTATGTATTTTGGAAGCTAAATTCATATATATACATATATAAATGTATGTTTTATATATATTAGAAATTCTAATGCAGGACACAAAAGTACAATAAAATATTGACTGGAGGTAAATAATAATAGTACTAATAAGAATGTATCTGTCAAAATCACAGCATTAGGTAGTAAGGTAAGAATAATGAAAAGTGGAGCATGGGTAAATTTTATGCTTTGGCTTGCAGCTCTGTTTCTGTGAAGATTGTCACAGGATGTTAAAGAATGTTTTAACATTTCACAAAAGAGAATGTTTACACCAGTAAAGGACCCATTAATGATGTGCAAGAATCTTCTTATGGAAGTTACTAATCAGAAAATCACCACCTGTAATCCTTGTAGCTCTATGGATTTATTCCTCAGTTAGTGGTTTGGTTCCTGCATGCCACACTCTGTTTATGTTGTGAAATCTGGCAGCAATCTGTACCCCAGATGACAAAATTCAACCTATGAAAATTTTTCAAAGTTGAACATATTCAAGCTGTATGAGAATACTGCTACCGAGTTAATATTTGTGGCTGGATTTCAAAAAGTTTGTCTTAAAGGACAGTCAAAAATTCATGCTGTCTTAACCCACATATCTCAACCCACATGTTCTTTAGGTTTTGCTCTTCCTATTCTTTCTCTGTCCTGCTGCTGGAAAAAGTGAGAGGGCAGAGTTGCTGGTCTGGGTCAACACACAACATATGTAAAGTTAGTAAATTAAGTTAATCTTAAACCTGATTTTTCCAATGTAGTTAAAGCAATTATAAAGCTGATCTGCTGTTCTACCAACAGGAGAGTGTCTGGATTTCAACACAGGCTACTATAAGAAAGAATATTGAGGCACAATACTGCAATAAGGCATTTGGTAGAACTATTCAGTTTTCCAAGACAGCTTGTCTGCTATTTGTATTATAGACATAGAGGGTGTTGCTTAAAAGAAATTCAGCCGTGACTGGCAACATGAATTACAACCCCAACTACCCCACAGGCTGGTGGTAGGTTCTCCCTTGCTGGCAGGAGGAAAACAGCCAGCACATGGTTGGATACATTACCAAAATTTTGGCAAAGAGAGTGTGAGACCTGTGAGAAAGCCCCTAAGGGAGAAAACACAAGCAGATTATTATGGGTTGATGCCTCACAAAAATAGCTCATGTCAGCATGAGTTGCCATCAAAAGTGAGTCTGCTTGGGAGTAGGGTGGAAGTCACTATCCAAAACATTGCCTCAAAAAAGATACAGTATTTCAGACTATAATTCTAAACAAACTTTTCTTACCTCATTCCCTGTTGACATTACTGCAACCACTGGAAACTTGTTAACTTCTACTTCAGTTACTCCAACAGTTGCTAAGAGACCAATCTCAGATGGACCCATGTGGGTTCCTTTAGCCAGCACACATTCACCTCTTTTAATGTCATGTCCTATGGGTCTGAAAATAAGGACAGAAAAATCACATGAAAGAAAAAGAGGATGAGATTCAAAGTACCTTTCCTTCATTGGTCCTGTTCCAGGTCTGGAGTGTCCACGGACGCTCCTTAGTCTGACTGTCAAAATGTCAGTACCATTCATGATTAAAAAATTTGAAATTCATCAGCCCTTCTATTCCTAACAGAGATATTTTAATAAATACACACCTGATATCTTGGCCTGGTCGAGCCTGCACCAGGATTCGAACTTCTAGTTCTTCAGTGCCCTACAAACACAAGGACATCACGTATGGTCAGCTGAACTAGTCAAAGATTAATTCATTTCTCAGAAGTCTACACAGCACTCAGACATTGAGACATTACACTGAGACATTACGGCTTAAGCATCATATTGTTCTCCTGATTATTTCGTCACGTTTGTAACACAATGTGTGCTACAACTGAACAGCATTTTAAGAAATGCTCTTTATGATGAGCTCACTAGGGGAGGACCAGCACTGAATACGTAGCTTTAGCTTCCTATTTTTTTTAACGATACCTGTGTTTATATAGCTTTCCTGTGTTACATCGTTGATCTGGTATACTGAGTGGATTCTTTCTACTTCTTCTCAGCCAACTTGATCTGGTCAATCCATTTCAGAGATGACACTTCTAACAGACCATTAGTCTGGCAGACAGTAGGCCATTACATTAGCAGAAAGGTGGAAAGAAACTATGTGCCACAGCTGTTTCAGGATTCTCATGTAGATTCCTGTAGTGGATACTCCTACTTGAGAGCCTTGTATGAATCAGAAAGGGGCTCATTCATCTTGTTTATTTACTGTGAACAAGAGGCAGTGGCCTGAAGGGTCTGATGCATTTCCTTGTTCAGAATGTCAATAGTTTGGTGATTCATTCAATGCCAATAAATGGCACACGACCTCTATAATTAATATTTAAGCCCTGCAAATGGATTGATGGTATATACACTCAGTTTTGAGATAGTGCCAGCCTGTCAGTAGCACTAAATCTAAACTTAGACTGGAAAAAATTCTGGTTTTACATTATGATGTAGTGCTTATATTTGTAATGTGGTAGTCCTCTCAAGATGAGGTGGCCACAAAAAACTTGCTCAGTAAGGCTAATGGAATGATTAAAAAGCAGTGAAGGCAATGGTGTAATTTGCAGGAAGATATAATCTATACATATACATCTGTAATCTAAAAGCAGGATTGATAATTTCAATAATTTCCCTGCTAGGAAGAAGGACAGCCTAGACAGCTTGCTGAGCTCATTAGTTGTAAAAATCTATGCATTTAGTAAGATTAATAAGGCATGAGAAAGGATCCTGAGAGTGAGTTTCAGTTTTTGCAGTCTTTATCAGTTTTGAACACTAGAATTCATCTGCTTACACCCCAGCTGCAATCACAATGCTGACACTGAGCTGTGGTGAAGTGGAACAGCTTGTCAGAACAGCAGCAGCAGAGCAAAGGCTGATCTGAGCACAGAACTATACACATAGTTCATTCCAAAGCTGAACTGGGAAGTTGTGTCAATAAGAGACACATCTTCTTGCCTTGAATTCTCTCAGATGACAGCAAACATGATGATAGTGCCTTGAAATCACAGCTGGGATTCAGGAGCAAACACAGCAACACAAAGGAAGTCTAAGATGGACCCTTTGGAATAAAGTTGTCTACAGAGTGCTCCTTTGCTTCATAAAAAGAACATTTCACTATGTTGAGACAACAGTGCATACAGAATTAGTACTACAGTATTCATATTTTTTCTGTGGTGTTTTTTTTTTCTGTGTTCGTATTTGCAGCATCTGTAAGGTAGTCCGCTAGTATGTTTTCAAGTTAGGCTGGAAAATCTGTTCAAAAACAAATTTATGTCTACATTCTGGAGGAATATGCACCTTGTCCATTTCTTGGTTTTCAGAGGTCTTAAAGTCAGTAATGTTCGCATTTTAAAGGAGCACAAATGTCTTTTAAAAACCTTAGTTGTAGTTTAAAAAAATATTCACTTCCCTTGTTTCATAACAAAACCTCTTTTTCTAAACAGACTCATTGGAAGGTATTTGTATAAGAAATATTCTCCAAAATCCACCTTGGCTGAAACAAGACCAACACTGATAATTCAGAACTGCCTTCATAGCACAGTTTAAAGGAACCCAAGTCATCCCACGGATTTTGTGGCACTTAAAACAGTTCACTTTCCCATAGAAAATCATATTCGGCTTTAATTACATCAGCAGCCATTCACTGTATTATTCTGAGATCAATATGTAATAAAAAAAACTTTTCCCCTTCTTATCTGGTGAGATTTCCACTAGCCTGTGTTTTAAAATGTCAATACAGTAGGCATTCGAATTGGATTGTAGGCATGGGTTTCTAAGAGACACTTGCCTTTCACTCAAATCATGCTCCCAAGAATTTTAGAGTCAGCATTCAACAATTTTGATGAAAAATCAGTCAGAACAGGAAAGTCTGTGGTACTGTTCCCACAGCCTGAAAAAGTGAGAATTGCCACTAGGAACTGATGCAAAAATCCTCAAACTTCTGAGATTACTGAAGAGCTTTTCTGTATGATTGTCTTTCATATTTACAGGATTGGATCATGTGCCATTTACTGCTGCACAGAAAAGAAAAATGAGTTTTTTAACTTGTGACTCACATCATCTGATTCCCTGATGAGCTCTGTATCTTCCACCTGCACCACTGCATCAGCACCACATGGAATTGGAGCACCAGTTGTAACTCGCATTACCTGACCAGGCATCACAGTCTGAGTTGGCTGAAAAATAAAAAACAAGAAGTTCATCTCTTTTTGGAAAAATAATAAAATTTCAAGCCACTGGAACTTGATGTAAGTAATCTATCTGAAAGACCAGAATTCTTATTTGCAGCATGACACTTGATATACTGAAAGTGATATCAACAGGTACAAAAAACTCCAATTCACACCTGGCTTTATTTATATGGCCACCCATTAGGTGGCTTCAGTTTTTTCTCCTTATATTTCTATCACATGAACAACTTTCAGAAGAAGGAATATACTAATACTTAGAAAAATATTTGGCAAAGAAAAATAACTGGCTTAAAATTTTAACTGTTAGATGGAAACTTTCACGAACAAAAATCTAGCAGTTCTCAACACATAAATATTTTTGCAGAGCACTCTAGCTCCCAGGGCTGAAATTGCTTTGGTTGGATTTTTGTTCTGTTTTGTTTTATCAGCACACTATTTATGAAAAACCAACATATAATAGTAATGTAACCAACTGCTTAATTTTTAGGCAGATTTCCTAAGACAGCTCAATACCAGTTCACAGAGAATATCTATCTTTGTGAAGGTCAATTTAGAATAGCCTAAAATAGATAATATTCTACAACTCTATAAAGTCACAGGACATTAAAAAGTTTCAGCAGAAGCAGTACAAAGAACAGAAAAATATCAGAACAACATGATAAACCAAATGATACAGTTTTAATAACACTTCTCCCCAGGCAGACTATTTTAATAAACATTTATCAAAATCCAGGGTAAAACTGTAATTTGACCATAACTATTTAAGAAGAAATAACTAAAAAAAAAAATCCCAAAAATGAAACTAAAAGAAGCCGATATGATGACTGAGATTTCATTGCTGGCTCCTCCCAGCACTGCAGTAAGCTTGGCTTATCTAGGTTTCAGCGTTGTAAGTGAACATGTGCTACACAGAGATCTATGCAGCTGTGGTCAGAGTAACACATTCTGTACGTGTCACACGTACAGCTCATGTGCACACTGACTCCAAACTCCATATGCAGCGCTGGAATACATCCAGGACTTCTCAAACTATAATTAGCAGACATTTGGCAGCAACCCACAGGCTGCAGGCAGTTCCTCCCAGGACTGTTACCTGCTCCTGCCCAGCAGGAATTTACTCCATGACTTTTGTCAGGGGCTGACAGGCACGACCAAACTCTAGACCAGTGGTCAGCACTTCAGCTGCATAAAGCTGTTTGCCTTGCCCATTCTTCTACTCCTTCAGCCCTGTCATAACCACTGAAAGGTGAGTGTTACTTTGAAATGTGTGTATTTCACACATTTGGGACAGAAGCCATAGGAAAAGGCTGGGATGGTGTTTATCTGGCTTACCACAGCATCACAGCAACCTTTGTATTCCAAGAAACAACTGAGCCTACAACTGAATCTTAACCCTTTCCTACAGGTAATGGAAATCTAATATCCTGGGAGAAGAACATAAATAAAACCCACACTTGCCATATGTCACAGTTAGTATATTTTTAGGGCAAGATTCATGCTATCATAATGTAGGTATCTAAACAAGATGACATTAAAAAAAACACTTTTAAGAAAATGGCATTTTATTCCTCACCCCAGACTATTCAAGGAGTTGTGGATGGATAGCAGAAACACTGCCATTTATACTAAAGCTGCTTAAAAGGGAAAATAATGCTATCGAGTGTGTAATTTTGATTTTTATGAAAAGAAATGTTACAAAAGGCAAAGCTTACACCTTGGATAATGAATTTTGCATGCCATTGTAGATATAATCTAAAGGTACATTACAAATAGGTAATATTATCTTGAACTTACTAAGTATTGCTGGCTTAAACAACAAACTTCAGAGGAAAAATGTATTGCATAAAAAAATTCTGCCTATTAAACTGCATCATAAAGAATACAAAATGTCTACTACTGTCACAAACCAGAGCCTACGGTGATAAAATGTGCTGTAACTAATCATGTTTTTGGAGTTTATTGTTAGATGAGTTAATTTTTTGAGATGTAATGATGTGATACATTTAAACAAATTCATGATACAATTGCTTTTAGAACTGGTTATGTTGCTCACAGATTTAATTTCATTTTTGTCTGCTGAGAATTTGATCAGATTAACTTTATGAACAAAAGTCAACCACCAGATTTATTTGTGAATCTCCAGGGCTGTGTTCCTCTATGATAGATTTTTTGGAGATAAAGAAATGACTGCTTCTCAGAAAACATATTAATGTGCAAAAATTTCACAGAAGCTCTTGCAAAGGGCCTTTGAGATCTCACTTCTACCTGCAATGAGGCAATACTGGTTTCTGTCCTTTGCATTCATTACTGATAATCTACTCAATTTTAGTCACTGAATAAAACCCAGAAATAATTTACTAAGCACAACCCCTGTCTCAGGCATTTTCTCCTGCACATGATTACACCTCTCCTGTGTCATTTAGAATGATCCACGCTCCTTTCTGTAAAAAGGCACGAGTTAATGGAATAGTGGAAAATGCCTGCTTTTCATTCTAACATTGTAGCTGGTTAGTTGTAGTGCCTCTTACAAAGACCTTTAGAAAGCATTGTAGGAAAGGCTATGGTCTATGTAAGTCTACAGAAGGAAAACCATTTTTCCTATGGCTGTGTGTGTTACACACAGGCCATCGTGGATGGCTCATGACCAGTAATCTCAAGTGTGCCCTAACCTTCCCAAAGCAAGGTAATGCTGAAAGCTTTCCCTGATATACAGAAAAAGGGTTAACACAAACATGACCATCTGGAGATGGAAATAAGAAAACACACAAATTAAAAATTGATACAGAAATGTCCAACTTGGCTATATGGCCTCCCTGAAATTCTAGTCCCATCTTCTTCCTTGCTACTAGCATTTATGTAACCTTTTTCCCTACAGGAGGAGCCAAATCTAAATCTATTTTGAACTCCCTGCTGTGAATCATTCTGTTAATTGGTCTGTAACATGAAAAGCAGAATGTTGCTGCTGAGAGTGACTGAAGGGTGAAATGAGACTGAGGAGCCTTCCAAGGCTATAAATAATTTCTTGGGAAGGAGATGAACCTGAAGATGTGTTTGCCCCAGAAAAAAACTTTGACCAATTATTCTGAGGTCAACAGCCTTGTTTTTCTAACTTGCCACTGGTATTTTCAGAAATAGTCTCTCTCTGCATGCTTGCTTCCCACCCAATTTTTGCTCCTTGCCAGAGAGCCTTCCTATTCCCCGTAATCTGGGAGGACAGACTGTCCCTGAGAGACATTTGTGAGCTCTTGAACTTTGTAGGAGGGAAGCAGCTTCCATTTGCCCTTTTATCTTTTGTACAAACCTGCTGAACTGATTAGGACACTGAAACACTTCAGAACTCTAATGGGAAGTAGTCCCCATTAGAGACAACTTCAACAGTACTGCTTTAAAGCAACAGTGTGCTGGGATATTTAACTGGCAAAATGATAATATTGATGACAGGGGAATAGTGATAGGAGTGAAAATTCAGCAGGTTGCTCTGCTGGTTCTTGCTATTTTATAGTGATCATAAAAAGAGCTGTAAAAATAGTTGTCTTTGAATCTTTTGGATTCTGGACCAATGCTTGAAAATGCAGTCAGGAGGGCTAAAAATATAAGGCAGGCTAAAAAACTGCTGAATTCATTTGCTTTTGGTTTTTTTAGAATTTAAAGTAATTTTGCATATTTTGTGCAACTGATCCATTAATCTAAGTTCACATGAATATCAGTACTGAGAAAATGTCTATTATACCAAAGTATAATTCATGATGATGGATGGGACTGAAAGCAAAAATAATTTTTACAGTTCTTCTTATCATGATTAGCCAAATGAAATGTCTATTACACATTTAGTCACAGTTCAAGTCCATTTAAAAAAAACCAAATAATCCTGCAACTGGTAATACTTCTAAAATCTGACAGAGCTATTGAAATATGTCGGTTTTACTTAGACTTTATTGTTTAGTAGTCAAAATGCACACAGTATAAAATCCTCATTAAAACTGATCAATTTCTTGTATTCCTGTTACTTATCCTCTTCTCCATCATTTCACATACAATACACAGAATTATAAATCAGGACTTGAAATAGCTGGAAAAACATTTTGGACTAACTCACATTTTCCTGAACACAGCTGGCAGGTATGATTAAATGGACAGAATAACAGTAGTTGAACATAACTGATTTTTTTTCCCATTACCAGAATGAGTACAGAAATGTAATGAAATATGCTCTTGAATTTGAGAACAAATCATGAAATACATTTATTAATGAATATTTACAGAGCACAGCAGGTCACAAACAGGTCACACCTCAACTTGCTTTTAAATCAATCCATGTATCAGCTAAGGTGCACAAACATTCTTCTCACAAACCAGCCTCAAACCAGGCTGCTGCCAGACTTCCTCAAGACTGTTCTGATGGCTACCTATCTATAAAAGCTTAATAAAAAATTTATACACTTCATTTTGCAGCTATCCATGTGAAAAATAGAAGCATCTTATGAAAACAGTTTTTGGGCTGACATCCTTAAAAAATCTGTCAGCAAGAGGGGGTTAAATCACTATTTTCTCTGCTTATGAATTGTGCCACTAGAAATCTCATGTCCTCAAACACTGGACCAGGGCAGAATGTTACTGTATGCACTCCTATCAGACATGTCAGCACAATGCTCTGAAGTATTTTGGGATATCCTTGTTAGCTCCTTATGTAACTGTACTACCTCACTTTCTGAAATCATGTCCCAAGGCACATAGTGGGAGGGTCACTACAGCTGTGTCCTACTTCACACCACATCCAAGACTACTGCATTTTGGAGCACTAGCAAGGCTTGTAAAAATACAAAGCAAAAATCTTACAGAATAAAAATACATTAAAAAAAGAGAAAAGAAATTGTGCTCACCTGCTCACCAGCCTGGGATTCCCCTATGATGAATCGATCTCCTGGGCCATCAGCAGCTGTTGAGAGGGACAACATAAATGGTAAACACTGAACCAAAACAAATAATGGCATTATAAATAAAGAACAGGTGAAGAGCAAAGATGATATAATGTTCAGTTCTTCAGTGACTTGAGTTCTTCATGACTAAGGTTACAGAAGTTCTGCAAACATTTTACCTTTTAGGTGCATTTGAGGTGTGTTTATTATTTTGAAAAACACAGGTTCTATAAGAAATAGTATTTTTAACTGAAAATTTCTGGGCAGTATGAGGTCTTGTAAATGAAGACTAGTAGGAATTACATTAATAACAAAGATTTAAGGGTGTTCATGACAGTATTTCAATACTGAAAATTAGGAGTCCGAGATCACTGATCTAACAAGTCTTCAGGACTTCCAATTTAGCAAATCTGCATTTTTACAGGGACAATGAAGGCACAATTACTAATGACATTTAAACTCCTGTCTGCATCAAAGGTCTTTCAGCAAGTTGCATTAGTGGCATTATAGGCTTTACCATGTGTAAACCTGTGTGAAGCACAAGCAGCTCTGCCTTTCCAAGCACAGCAATCCTGTTGCCAAGAGTGCTCAAACAAACTGAAGAAAGATCACATTTAAATCTGCATTATTATTGATTTTAAATCTGTAGCTGTCAAAACTTGATATCCTAGAGATGAAGTCTAATCAGTGACAACGTTTATCTTAATAACTTGGGTTTTATTTCAGGAGCCCTGAATATACACCTAGGTAACCTTGTATGGAGAAGAACTACTTTCAGGAAGGATGTCCATTCAGTCTATGATTTATCACTTTGTACTCATGCATTGGCTGCAGCTTTGCAGATCATTATCTATGGTACTTAGTAATGTTTGAAGACTAATAATTAACTTAGCTTTAAAAGCCTATCAAACAGACTAATCTATGAGCTTTAGAGTGAACTCAAAAAAGTAGAAAAGGATTCTTCAACTAGATATCCTTGAATAATGCATATAATGCTACTGAAAACAGTTGTTAGGCCTGCACTGAAAAAAAAGTGCTTGCATGATCCAGCAAAAGAAGAGAAAGAAATCCCTAATAGCTACATTATTTTAAACCTGATAAAATGCTACTTAGATTTTATTCCCCCACTAATAATAATACAGAGACAAAGTTTATAGATGATACACAACTGATATAAAATGAGGAAAGGATAGGGGTTTGGGCAGACATGTTATGCCACTGAAAGCTAATCCTGATATTTTTGTAAGAACTATCCATTAATGTAGTCAATATGTCAATATTAACTCTGCTGAAAAGCTTTTTTTTTTTTTTCCTTCCATATCTGAAGATAACAGGTTCACAAGAATAATAAGAACAGAACAAAACAGTATAGCAGAGAATAGAACTGCCTGATCAATTCAGGGCTAACCAAAATGTAAAGCAAATTATTAAAAGCATTGTCCAATTGCCTTTGACACAGAGAAAGGCCTGGGGCATCAACCCACTCTCTAGTGGGTTCTGTTCCAGTCTGTTCCAGTGTCTGCCCACTCTCTTGGTAAAGCACTATTTCCTGATGTCAAAGTTAAACTTTCCCTGGCACAGCTTTCAGCCATTCCCACAGAAAATGTCACTGGGCACCCTGTGCCCTTCCCCTCCACAGGGAGCTGTAGGGGGTCATGAGGTCACCTCTCAACATACTTTTCCTCAAACAAGACAAACCTAAAGTCCTCAGCTGCTCCTCCTAGGACATTCCTTCCAGCCCTTTCACCAGGTTTAGTGCTGTTCTCTGGATGTATTCAAATATCTCAGTGTTGCTCTACTTGAATTTACCACCAAAATTAGGTTTTGTGTGTTGGTTCGGTCAGAAGTTGCTGAAAATGACGTTCACGATCACTCTGCTCATTCTGCATGTTTACTGAGATTGTATTTGTTCTTTGCCTTACCCTGCAGCAATCAGATTGCAAGAGAGCATTGGCTTGATCCCAAGGCCCTTGTCACTCAGCATTCTACTCAAGAGCTCACTCTCTTAGCTTTTTGGAGTGCTACTTTACCTGTATTTCTCTGGCTACATATGCACTCCCTAGACCAAATTACTAGTCATTTTGGTCTGCCTGTCTCTCACGCACTCTCATCTTGTGGACCTGAAATTTTATTTTTATATTGAATGTATGGGGAAGCTACTGGATTACATCCATTGCATGGGTCTGCAGGCAGTCTATTTCATGGGTAGCTACTTTCCACGGTTCCAACTGCCAGTAACAAAAAAGATATTTTAATGCCCCTAGAAGAAAGTTGGCTATTGTGAACAAATTTCAACACGGTGTTATTCCAATTCAATGGCTACCACAATTAAATCACTACCAGTATAATGTTTGACTCTGGATATTTTAAATTTCCTTCATAGACATATGAGGCAAGCATCATTATTCTTGCTTTACGAAGGGAAAAACTGATGCACAGTGAAGCAACTGGCTCAAAGTGATGTGGCACCTAGCAGCAAAGCAGAGTGTGAATTCAGGTCTGCTTGAAATTAATTAAATTATTTGCTGCTTGAAATTAATACAGTCATACAACTATTTTTATTTATGTATGGCAGCTGCAGTATTTTTGAAATAAGAACCTCTTCTTTTGAGGTGTCTCCATAAGAGAACATGATGGTAAGTTTTTCAAAAATTCTCTGATGTAATCAATATCTGTAATGGTTCAACAAAGTAAAATATATATAAACAATCCTCATTAAATCTACAACAGAGAAATAGAAGATGAATCCGTAATTCAGAAACAGATGTTCTGTTATTGTCCTGAATTTTAAATGTTTCCAAGAAATGCACGAGCAACAGAGGTGCACATCTAGGAGCACACATGGGTGTAAATTTGCCTGTGTACACCAGTATCCACTTAAAAAGATCTGAGCTTGGCTTTGCAGCCTTCCTTCAAGACAGTGCAACTGTGACCCCAGCAATGATCTGTATCAAATCTAAACCAAAACAACCCCCGCTGGATCCAAAACAGGTGAATTAACATGTTATAAAGTAGCAGACGCTATACTACATGTCCACAAAGTGAGTGTTTACCTCTGACAGCGTAACCATCTTTTACTGATGCTGGAAATGGTGGCAGATTGTCTTTTGCATATACATCTTGAGCAAGGACTCGCCCCATTCCATCTAGAAAAAAGAGAAAAGACCATGCTCTGTGTCATTACAGCGAATTAAACAGTTGTGTCCTCCTATAGGTGAAATGTATGTGTATGGGACATATAGATCTCTCAGGCTTTAGATTTTTGACCCTACATGCAGGAAAAAAGACTGGAGTCTGAACGTAATGATAAAGGATTTGTTTAAGTCTGTGCTCCTGGTTATGGTGAAATTGCTTACAGTAGATTTGAATGTCAAGTATCCAAACCCAGAGGTGATAGCTCTGATTAAGGACCAGACAGAAAAACAAGTATTTGTTTCATCAGGACAAGTTTTTCCCCTAAGATTTCTTGAATATAGGCATTTTCTTTATTTTCCTTTATTTGAATTTTTATTAAATTTCTTCTTTAAAAACTTGTAAAATGACATTTCAAAAGTAAATCCTGTGCACAGAAAGTGAGAGGTGATGAATTGAGAACATTAACAATGGACCTGTTTTCATAAATTGGCAAAGAAGTTTGGCAATAGATTAGCTTCATCTAATTGCTGAGAGCATTTCTACTTAATGGAGAGTGAGTCCACATAAGTGTCAGAATTATTTATATAAATTTACAGTGTTACAGTTCTAAATATTTTAATAGCTGTTTCAAACACACTCTCTTCACTTAGCAACTATGGCTGATGAACTGTAATTTGGCTCAGCCTCCCTGTAGAGACTGATATGAATTATTTCACCCTCAGTCAAGTGGCTGGTACTTTTATGGCACCAGCAAGAGCTTTATTTTTTAGTATGACACGGAACAGAGTGGGAAAATATGTAACTTGGCCCTTGATATAGTGTGAGAGAGAAAGCAGATTTATTACATGTGTGATTAGATGTACTGGGAAGGGACACATGGGTCAGAACTACTGAGACAGGCTTGATTCCAGTATGTCTAAGTAAAAGAAGGGAAGCCCTGCTCATAATAGAGGCCTGCTCCTAGGGTGCATTGTGGCACTTGAAGGCAATATCCAGCTGAAAGTGTGATGGAGTGAGAGGTTGCATGATTATTTCTGCCAGGAGAATTTCCATGGATATGTGCTTTAGAGATTATGATCTTTGAGACATGCCAAAAAAGAGAAGTGCACAAAGTGTGTTTCTTATTTTACAGACAGGGAAATCTGCGTGGTCCGGATCGACTGGGAAGGCAGAAGAGCTAGAGCTGCACACTAAATGGGCAGATTTTGTTAAAAAAGTTCACCCACTCAATTTGGAAATGTTCAGCTCCAGTGAAGTGGTATTATAATGAAGACTGTATTTTACTTATTAACACAATGTGACTTAGTTAGCAATTAATTATTGTAACTATAACAACATTCTGCTCACATCCGTATGTATCAACTTTCATCCTGAAGTCACTGTTCATGCTGTGTTGCTAAAATAAATATTGCCATGAAAATGCTCCTGAAACCTGCTAAAGCATCTAGAAAAGCACTTTTGTAATGGCAATTAATTTACCTGTGCAAACCTGCATATCAGTGCCTGTGATACACAATATAGAAGTTATTAGAAAGCTCAGAGAAGCTTGTATACTTATATTTAGTAAAAAAATGCAGACACAGACATTTAAATTGTAGCACAGAAAAGGCAGCTATCAAAGGTCTAGTAAAAATACCCTTTGTTCATAGATGCACAAAATCTCATGCAAAAGTGATAATTCCAATTTTAGCAGGCATGTTGTGCCTTCATTTTGCTTCTTGTCTGCATGCAAAATTGCACCAATTAGGGCAAAGTTGAACAGTATGTTCTTGGCATATTGCCATGCAATATTTGAAAGGAATAAATGGCTAGCCAGTAATGGGAATGAGTTTCATTACAAGAAGAAAAATGTAAGATTTATTTGCTGAAGCAGCCTTAGGCATTTAAAATGAAGCAAGTCAGCAACTAGAGGACAATCTTGAGTACCTCTGCACTCTCTTTTAAGAAAATATTCTAAAAATACAGTTTGACCCTATTTTGATTAATTGTAATTCAGAAAGATGTTCTGAATTATTTGAATTCATCCAACTGCCCCTTGTGATGCTCATAGCTTTCTGAAACAAAATGGAGAATTACATTAAACTCACTTTTCAAACGTGGGTATTTGCTAAGCTTCGGTGTTGAACCTGGAACAGTTCCGTGAAGAGCTTTGATTTCTCTGGGGCACAGCAATAAGACATCTTGTACTAGGAAGTGATGGATTTTGTAAATACTGCCCTGGTAGCACTTCAGCGTGATATGAAAAGTCAATGCTACCAAACCAATCAGTTAGGCTCTTGGATTAGACAAGAATAAATGTGCTGTTCTCTGGCTTAAGCTCATAAAATGTAGATTGCTTCTGCATTATAATTTTATTATTAGTTAAACTTCTGCATCTTCTTAGTTCCAGAAGAATAATCATAATCATGTTGTCTAAAAACTTAACCTTATGTGTCCACAGAGCTATACTCAGGTAACTGCATTTATTTGGAATAAAAGCCTAACTGGTAGCTTCACACCAGATATCGATGACGGCAGGTGAAAAATATGCTTCAGATGCCTTGGGTTTATGACACTTCCATAAAATGCTTTAGGACAGTCCATTTTTTTAAAATATGAAAGAGGTTAAATTATCTATATGGTCACTGAGCAACACACCAGCATGAAAGTCATGTTTCAAAAGATAACTTTAACAATCCTCTCCCTTATGTTAGGAGAGAATAGATAGATCTGTGAGACTACAGCCCGCCTTGCCTAATCAAGAATAAAATCGAGATTGTACTGGGTATTTGTACAGAATAACATTCAGCAGCTTTATTTGTGAGGATGAATGCTATAAAACATGTTTATTTTAACTAAATCAGGCTAAATTAATTAGGCAATTACCACTCCTAGAATTTTGCAGATTTCACTTTCCTTGGAGAGAAACTGTGCTCCTGAAAGATAGTTTTCAGAAGCTCAGTTGTAACTCAAATTCACAAAATCACGAAGAAAACAAACACAGTGCAATAGGGCTTTTCTAAATACAGTTTCAGACCTCCAGAACTAAATTTTTACAATTTTCTGAGATTTGATATATATTAACAAAAAAAAATGAAACCGTAACTAATTGAAAAACTGGCTCTTAATTAATTGCGTTCTTCAAAATTAAATTGTTTTTTATCCAACACATAAGTGTGTGCATACACACATGCCTATACAAACAATTCTATGTATTTGTCTGTATAACATTATGGTGATCCTTTAAGAACTTCTGAAAATGCATTTCCATCTTGGGATTTGTATCTGTAGATTAAGAGAATTGAATTTGCAGTATCACAGACACAGACATGTCCTTTAGGCTGTCTCCTATAGGCTCAATCCTGAAATTTCATACTATATACTTGGAAAACGTACCATGCTAAATTACATGTACACTACTTGAAAAATAAATTGCAAGATAAAATTTTGCAATTTTTGCAATTTGCACTACAGTGCAAAAATATGAAGGAATTGTTGGTATAATTATGTGAACATTAAATCAAGTATCTGTCTCTGAACCTGCTAATGTTACCATCAATCCAATGCTTGTGTTTTGGGTGAGAGGGAAGAGGGTCAAAACTAAAGTGACTCAGCAGACTCAGTTCATTATTTTTGACAGAATAACAGTGCCAGAAATAACAATAGGTACGTTCTGTACTTCAATCAAAACTTCTTTTATTCAAAGAAGAATAATAATCTGACAGTACCTTAACTGTATCTGACATACCAAAATAAATATATGATGTGCTTATCAGGGAGACAGATGCCAGTATTTCATCCTCTATTTCAGGAGTTCAGGGTTGCATATGTAGCATTGATTTGGACTAAATGTACCCAACGTTGCAGCTCATCATATTGTTCACAAAGGGCTGTCTTAGAAAAGACATTTAACTGACAGCTACCCAAAAAGCCCAGTAGTTATGCCCTGGCATTTATGCCTTAGTGTCTTCTAATCTGCACACCATTATGAAAGTGCAGGGTGTATTATGCATATTCCTTGTTGATCCAGTGTTGGTGCTGTTCTGAATGCAGGACATGGAGCATTTTCTCAGAAATCCTGCTGCCAAGGCATAGAGGAACACTGAACTCTGCTTGGAGTCACTAAATGCACAGGTGTGATATTACCTACAGTCTGCTAAATCAGTATGTCAATATGAAGACATCTTGAAGGCTTCTGGTAGCACAAAGATTTGGCAAAGAGCATGAAAACTTTGAACTTCCAAGCCAGGAGACAGAAGATTCAGAAATTATTTGTGTCTCTCTACTGTCTGTAGCACACCAGCCCTAAATGTTTTTGGCTTTTGAGGTTTATAGTTCCACAATCTCTTCACTCACCACATTACTTTTGGACAATTTGGAAGAATCCCTGGAAGAGGCTTCTGCCTCCCTTCCTAGTTTAGGTTTACTTGTCAGCATATTTCCTGTCATGGTTTTGTTATGTGCCAAGCACATTCTCCCAGGCTTGATGTAAGGAATAGCAGAAGCTTAGGGAGGCACCTCATAGACAATATGAATACAGTATTTCAGGAAGGAGGACAGTTTACCTGAATAAACATGAGAGATGCCTTGCTAATTCCTCTTAGGGCCAGAAAATCACTTCATCTATCCCTACTTATTCATGAGTATAGATACAGTAACAAAGTCTGATACTTTGCTTGCTGTTTGGTGCTTTTGAAGACAACCTCACTGTATAAATCAAAACCAGTTACTCTTTAATTACAAAGTTTGGATAGATCACACATTAAAATGAAGTAATTTCAGAAGATGATCATGTAGTGTTAGAATAGAAAAGGAATTGCATTTATGAGAAGAAGAGGAAAATTCTGGAATGACTAGCAGGCTAACTAGAACCTGTAAAAAGAGACTGAGATGAACTGTTAAAGATATAGACATGGAAAAAAGTGATCTGGAATCAATAATCACTTTGCTTTGATCATTAATCTCGGATAGGAAAGGGGCTTAGTGAGAATCTTCCACAGTGAGACAACAGAGGGAACCAATCACAGTAAAGCTTTCAGCTACTTGGCATCTACAAAAGTCCACTGAGGTACATTCAGGTTGAGGATAATATGTTTGCTGCATATAATACAAACAGGAAGAAAATTGATTCATGTATTTTATTAGTGTTCCGTTACAGACTCCTTCACGGAGCACCACTGAATTTAACTGACATTCTCCTAACTTTGAAAGGTTTCCTCTATTACAGGTATTTCCTAAAGCAGTTTCTCCTGGAGAAAGCACTGTTTCAGACACCTCACATTAACAAAAGAGCAGAAAGGTTGCCAAATAGGGAAGTAATCACCCTCATGCTCACAAAGAATCCAATTTAATATACCTCTGTAATTGATGATTTCTGTTCCAAGCACTGGGGTCATCTCCAGAACTGTGATGAAGGCCTTGTCCATGGATGTCAATGGGAATGGAGACATGCGATGTCTTCTTGCTACCTTGGTAATGTCAACGGCACTGTGACCTGCAATGAGAAAGAACAACTTCATGTGGGCTACAGTGAGCAGATTCATGTAGTGATGTTCATTTAAACCATTTTACTGAAACTAATCAGCACTTTGGAGCAAATTAAATTAGTCAGTTATCACTATTGAGCTTTCATGTCTGGCCCTGGGAAGACACTGTATTCAGCTAGAATCAAGAGAGTGTATATCCTTATCTGTAGTGAAGAACATACCAGAAGTCTTGATGAGCATGAAAAGACTGGTTAATGTACAACAGAAGCCCTTCCAGATGATGCAGCATTTTACTCCGAGGATGATAATCTGAGACTAATTCAGTTCTGTCAACTCAGGACAATTCACTCCATTCTGTTCTGCACAAACACATCTCAACACGCTCTGTGCCATGCACAGATAAAGCACAACAGTGGACACTGTGCCAGTGAGTCTACAGTCCAAGAGAGAGATGGGAGTCCAAAGGTTTGAAAGGAAGGTAGAGAGAGCACAATGAAATCACTGGCCAGTCAAGGCAGCAGACAGCATCTCCAGCTAGTGGGCATCCTACCCGTTGTCAAGATTTTGTCGTCATCATAGCAAAGTGTTGTTTACATATATGATTGGAGTGAAGGCAGCAGGACAGCCTCAGAAGGCTTGCTTTTCCCAAGTGTGAGGGACAGGTAGGGAGAAAATATGACAGAAGTTGTTTGAAAATGAAACCAACAGTGTGTTTAATTTCATGATACTTACTGAGAGATTAAACAAGGGGACAACAAGCTTTGAAGGATTTTGCAAGTGAAGATAAGCAACTCAAGAGAGAACTATTGCAGGAATACATAAACAAGAGCAACAGATATAAACTGAAGGATTCACACAATTACAATTGCAGAGTACCTTGAAAGGATTTACCTAGAACAAGAAGGTATTTATGAAAGCCAAAGTGGATGATGTTCTATGTGTGATATGTAATGATATCCCTGAGTAACATAAATTACAGTACAGAAAGCATTAAATAATAGAAACTAATTTTCAATGACATGATTTGGCTTTGCAGTCACTACATAAATATCTCATTTGTTGCTGCACATGCCTTCAGATTCTGAAAAAAAAACCAGATTACTGCTTCAAGTGTAGTCTTCTAATAAAAAGCAAGTAAAAAATAGCACAACAGTCACGCAGTCTAATTCTGAAGTCTTCCTTCAGAAGAGGAGGTTTCTTAATTAATCTATATGTACAATACTTCTTCAGCACTAACACATGCTTACCTTTTCATGTGAGACATTGTTCACTAATTATTTTTTGCTATTAACACAGTAACTACCTTTCAGAGGAAGAAGTAGAGACAAGTAAAACTGCCCACCTAATTCTTCCAGGAATGATTCTGGAAGAAATTACTTGAACAATCTCTTTGTACAAATTTAGAAGATGGCATGAAGAAAAAAGCAGGCACTGTGAATTTGTCAAGCAGAGATAATTTTTAATTGACTTAATTCTTTTCCTTAAGATAGCAGTTGGCATTCTGAGGAAGAGAGAAACACCTGATGAGACACTTTCTAACTATATTAAGACTTTGCAAACTCTTAAACCTAACTTTCTCATAAGAAAACTAGGGACAAATGATCCAAAATAAACTATTGTAAGATAAAAGTGTAGCATGGAAAAACTGCATTCCTGGTTTTAACAACGGGGATCTCCCTAGCAAGCTTACATTTCCAGTTATCATGCCTTTTTTTTTTTTTTTTGACAACACCATTAAAGAGGAAAAGGGAAGCATTTGTGAAATACAGTCAAACTTCCCACATCCGCCTCTGCATAGAGAAAGAAACCCTGCTTTAGCAGCACTGTAATTTCTGAAGGTCCAGCAGATTCCACACAATACAAAATGTTTGTAACATTTTCCTGATGTTTTAAGTTGGAAAATATTAAGGAAAATGCTAAGAAAAAACATGTCACAGCAATGAAAGCTGAGGGAATTGTGTGGCAGTGAACAACCTTTATGCTATTGCCACTACATGCTTTTACTGTTTCTAGCAGTAATTTCACTGCTACTTAAAACTCACTGTTAGCTACTTCAGGAACTCACATTTCACCTCTTTAAACCTTAAAAAGTGATAGAATTCACAGGTTTTGAATACTTTGACTGGTCCCCAGAGAACAACCTTCAGATTTGCAAGTCTGTCCCTAATGCATGTCATTTGCTTAAGTCAAAGGTTCTGTCAAATCTTCTGAGAAATGCATTCTCCAACATAGACGTTTTGGAAATATATAAAATTCCCTAACCTCTGACATCTTTTTTCCAACACCAAAAGTAACACCCATTATTTCTGCAAGAAAAGTCAAGAAAATAGAGCCCCTTTAGGTGTTAAACCTAAAGCATGAATAGCCTTTATGAAGAAAGGAAGAAGGATGTTGGTGTAACTACTAACCTTTCTCTCTTCCATTTCTTCCTACAAACAAATGCTAACACTTCTGTTAGAGGTATCACAGATTTAAATAGACCCAGAGACAAACAAATTTTTTTTTTAAATTGTAAAACTACTGAATGGTACTTTAATTATAAGCAAATGACATTAAACAACTGCTCAGACTTCACCAAGTTATCTTTCACTAATGTGAAATGTCAGATAGCTCCAAAAATAACTACTTACATTAAGCTGCATTTTGTATGACAGACTAATCCTCTAGCTTTGAAGCAGCTAATTCAATTGGTTGCATAAGGTAGAAAATTCTTGACAGCCTGCTCTTTTACCACCAAAACATCTTCCTAGTCCTGTCATTATACATATACACACACATATGGTGGATCAAATTTTAGACTAGAAAAGATTCCCACAACACAAAGAAAAATAATTCTGCAAATTAAACTAGACAGCATTTGGATCCAATGTGAACTCTTAACCTTTGCATTTTCTGGTTTGGTTCTATGCAATACAACATTCAAATTCATGTTCAAGTATGAAAGTAAAACCAATATCTATTCAAGCGGAGAACCTCCATTTTCATTGTCTTTGAGTGATAATTCTTGCCCATAAAACCTGCACACACATGATCATTTACAACAAAACATTACAAACAACACAGACTTCCATGTCATTAGAAATACAACTTGGAAGAATAAATTAAAAGGTGACTCTCCATTAATACATGAACACTATGATCTATTTACAGTTTTACCTTTGGACTGGATTTCACTGTCTTAAGTTACTAAATTTCTGCTGCAAACCCACTTAGTCCCACCTCTGATCTGACTATCATTTGCTGTCTTCTGAGCAGTTCTAGTTTCTCTCAACAGAGCTAAGAAGTTTCTGCACTTACTTGCTCTGAGGATGTTCTCCTTGCTGCTGCACCTAGATTGGACCTGCAGAGAGAGCACAGAGTCTATGAGCTACAGAAGTTAACAAGAATGCAAAATACAGAGATAAAATGGGCAAGCTCCTGGGATCTAAGACAGAGGCTATACATATTTTCAGCAACATTCTTACATATTTTGCATGAGATAAATGTGTTTAAGCAGAAGGGTATATTTAAGCTGATGGTCAGAATCTGATACAAGCAATTTGATTCCACACCCCTTCCATAAGAAACAAGATGGCCTAAGGACAGTAAGTGAGAAAAATCAAAGAACGGTGCTTAAAATTACGTGTTAAGCATCAGTTTTCAACAGAAAATACACATTTTCTTATACAGCTGTAATTACACTAGCACTGAATCAAGGTCCTCTTTGATTATTAGACAGAATACTAACAAAAGTATATGACCTGATTTAAAATTCTATTGCTGATATTTTCAGGTATTGAGAGTTTAAAATATTTAGTTTCAATTATGTTGATCCTGCAAATGTTTAATAAGAAATCTTCACAATTGTATAAGCAACACACAATGGCTGTCTAAATGGCTCCTGGATGGAGCTGATAAATTTACTCCGCTGTTCCTCTTTGGTTAAAAGATGTTCACTAAGAATTTTGTAGTGGAATTCTACTTTAAAAAGTAACTGTGTGAGAATGACATGGTTTCTCAACAACCCCTCTTCTTTGATGCTTAGGACACTGTGCTATTCCAAATAAATTAGTCTCACTGCAGGGAAATTGGGCAATTCATATTGGTCTAATATTCTAGTAACACTGGATATTTACAGTTCTGTTTACTATGGAGATTTAAAAAATGTCGGGTTTTTTTGTTTGTTTGTTTGTTTTTTTTTTTTAAGAGTATCAGCCCTGTAAACACAACACAGATTAAATTTTTAATTCTTCTCAAGTTTGAAAGATAGCATCATGTATAATAACCCTGAAGTTGCAAGTTTTCAGATGGACTACTGTCAGGCCAGATGACTGACCTGGCAGCACTTGAACAGAAAGCATTTTGTGCGGACAAAACCCCAGCTAAAGTAAACTTCACAGGAAGACAAACCTCTAAGATAGTAAGAACTGAATCCTTCTCTTTTTTACTTTATTGACAAAGGTCTTTTAAATTTCAATGAGAATACTAATAAAGTAAAAGTGTGTACATGTAGTGAAAGAAGTGGAATAGCACAGGTGATGCTGAGGGTTTAATTTCCCAGCAGAACATCTGTCTCTGCCGCAAAAGCAAAGGAGTGAATCCAGATTATCTTTCAGACCTCACTCTGGACTTGCAGTTACAGAAAAATTGCCTAGAAAGTGAATATGTATTATCTAACAATTGATGAAGAATGATAAACCCCCAACCCCTCAAAAGCTGTCTTCAGAAAGGAACAACCATTTAAGGCTGAAACAAATGGTGCCCCAGCTTCTAAACCTCTTTCTTCTGTTCCACAGCAGCTTGCCCCAGATAGATAGCCACATAAAAAATTGGATTCTACAGTGCAACACAATCTACTTATTGTAATGGAATAACTTATGGAAAGTAATGTTGCAACTTAGAGTGGGTTATGGAGTCCTTCCCTGAAAAAAACTATTGTTTAACAAAAACAAACAGAAAAGCCCCACACCCTCCCCACTTCCCACCAAAAATACTGTACAAGAAAACTGCAAACAAAAGATTAATGATGCCCAAATTTGGCCCAGAGTTGTTTTACCAGATTTCAAAGGCATAAAATGAACTCTCTTTGGAAGAAGTAATTATTTACCTATAATTTACCAAAGGACAATTCTGGACCAAAAAGGTGGTATAATGGCAGGAAAGAAAACACAAAAGAAAGAGAAGCACAGTTTGAGAGGGAGGGAGAGAGAAGCAGGATGGATGTGGCAAGGCAGAAGATGGTGTATGCAAAAGGAGACATGGGCCTATGTGTGTAAGAATACTGTTTAAAATGGAAGAGGCTCTCTTATTTCTCACTGAAAAACATGAAAAGAGAAAATGAGGAATGGACCTGCTGCAAAATAATCAAGCAATTCAGCAACTGTGGAATGAAATTCAGTGAGATAACACAGTCCTAAAGAAAAAGGCAAAAAACCAAAAATACAAAACACAAACATTTGAAACAATCTACTAAAACAAACTAAGTAAAATATGTGATCCAAAGGACACAGATAAAAGCTACTAGAGAAGGAGGAAAAATGTTAGCAGACAAAGACAGTGCTAAAGAAGTAAAATGGAAGTCAAGAGAGAGTCTTTCAACAAAGTGGAGGAACAGAAGGAGCCCAAACCCATAGCGCAAAGCAATGTTTGCGAATGGAAAACAGCTCCTTTGAGCAGTAATAGTTACTCTCGAGTTGTAGCCTCTATTCCTCCTCAGTTCATCTTTAAGCCCTTCCAACCTATAGTGGAGCTAGTGTATGGACAAAAACAAGAGATTTATAATGAACAGAGCAGCTGAGATTTGCAGATCAAATCTTCTAATATAAAAAACGTGCTGACAAAGTTTTGCTCTTAAAATGTCCAAATGACAATGGTAACAAAAGACAGCTGGCTTCACACACAGCCTCTCACAGGTCATTTTTTAAATTCTGTGCACACAGAGGACTTCATATTTACTTTTTGATTTCTTACACCCAGCCTAAAGTTTCCATGTTATCACTCACCTGATGGGCAACATATGCAGTATGAGAAATAATTTGCTTCCCACAAATTTTAAAAGCAGCTGTGGAAGAGGAATCCATGATAATAAAATAAAAGGCTTGATCAGCTAGACTTGATCATTTCCCAACCTATGCTCACAGCTGCAGAATACAAACCATGTTTTAACATAACTGACATCAAAATTAGTTATTACATAATACTTCTGTTTAATATGAATTGCACATTCTTATCCTAAATGTTATTTTAAATCAAAACTCCAGTAAAATGTTTTTTAATAAAACCCACCAGTTCCCTAACACATACAGTTTTGGCAGCAATGGAGCTTTTATAAACGGGGTCATGTGCTTTAAGCGCCTTTTAAAATATTCATTATTTGTATGTTTTACTACTTCGTTATTTGTGACATTTACAAAAAATCTGTATTCTTTTCACAGCTATTGTTAACTGAGGAATCCATGCTATATTGCATATAATTCCATGACTAACCAGGGAGAATTATTATTAGGAGAATTTACTGTAATTCTTCTCATTCACAGGTAGTTACAGATAGAGCAACCTATGGCTGTCTTTTCTTTCACAGGGAAAGTATAGACTTATTGTTTGTCTATTCTACAGCCTCTTGGCTCACACTCTAACTTGGCAGAAGATACATTGGGCTACCAGTCAGTACCATTCCCCTGCATAGTTCAGACAGAATGTAATCAAACCCAAAGCATTCAGTTCACATTACTCTGTATTTTAAACAAATTGGATTTTATGTTCTTGAAAATGTAATTTCATCATGCTGGAATGCAGAGTAAGCTTTCTCCCATAAGCTGAAGTAGTAAATAGAACGTGAAACACAGTACTCAAAAATAAATAAACAGAATGGTAAAAGTAAAGAGTCCTGCTGACAAGTTCTATCTATTGGTCATGATTGGTCTGAGAAAAAAAACCAAACAGTGGCTGTACTAAATTGGATTCATTTAAATTTACATAATATGTTTTGCTGCAAATAAAAATCAGTCTGAATTTTTTTTCAAAAATAGAAAAAGACACAAAGAAAAGTTCATGCTACGAGTGAAAAATTCATGTGAAAAATAATGGAAAAAGAAACTGAGAAACCCTTTAACACTCTACCATGACTGTTAGGAATTGTTAGAGAAATTACTTACCTTTTTAAAGTCATAACAAGATTAGCACAGAGTATTAAGTCAGCTCTTCATTATGGGAGGTACAATTAGAAGCCATTGGTTATAATAAAACAAATTGCTAGACAAAGGTGAAGAGTTTCCAGCCCAATATGAAAAGCTAACTCTTATGGGAGTACATTTTAACTCAATACTACAACATGAAGAACAATTCAGAACAATGACATCAAAGCATGAGTTACCACCAACAGAAAGAGCCCATTTCTCAGGAACACAGAGCCTGCAGGAGGCTGACCCATAATCTTTAGCACTTATGGGGAAGCACATCGCTCCACTCTGAGGAAAGCATGCAGAATGTGGAACCACCAGCAGAAACCCAAACATAGGCAGAGGACTAAGGTACAGCAGCGGGAATGAGTTCGCCAAGCTGTAATGAAGGAAGCAGGGTAAGCAAAGCACAGCAGCTGTTTACAATTTCAGAACTGCATTCCCACTCTCCCAAACACCAGGCAGGACTGTTCATGAGGTATTGCACCTACTGCACTTTCTGCTGGTGAGAAAGTGCATAACTCATGCAGCTTCCTTAAAACTTCAGCAGCTTTATGAAGACAACGTGTCTGCTATGATGTGGGAAAATACGCTGCTGCTACTTTTGTTCTGCATGTGATTTATTAGTAACTTCGTGACCCAAGTTCTGTACAATATACACTGTGCACGTGCCATTTGAATGGTCTCTGAAATATTTGTCTGCTTTAAACAGATTTCAAATCACATGTGATCTAATTTATAACTGTAGGGGTTTGCAGTGTCTTCTGCCTAAAATACCTTCTATCCTCTAAGAGGGCAACATACATTATTCACTGTCTCTAAATAAACAGATAAGAGAAAACTAAACCATGAATAACAATGTCTGAAGCTAATCTGATAATACTTATCTATAAAAACTGATTTTGGCATGTTATTCTAAGCAATATCCATAAGGTTAAACTAGGAGCAAATAAAAAATGCAATAAAATAGATTGTTTATGTCACTTTTAGTGTCTTAAATCTATCCTGATTTAACAGGATTAATCTATTAATTATTATTATTAATTACTATGTCTCTGTTCTCTGAAGAATAGAGAGAATAGCTTTGATTGAATTAATAGGGAATATAAAAATGAAGTTGTTAAAAACATTCACAAGAATGGCTTGGTTGGAAGGGACCTTAAAGATCATCTAGTTCCAAAAA